GTAATGCCATCAAACCAGCCCTTTAGAAGGAAATATATAGGGAGGAAGGTTTCTTTCCTTGCTTGTGACTCTAACCCATGTAACATGGACTTTCCATTCAGTAGAATTGCACTGGCTACGTTTTACCTGCAGCCAGAGATGGCAATTGTTCGTCAGCAGCAATATTTCTTTTCTCTATAGAACAAAGTCAGGATTACTGGTTGCCAGTGTTTTCTCATTAAAAGCAGAATGCTAACATAACGCTCCAGTGTTTCAGCATTGCTATCTAACACACGCTTCGTTTTTGTAAGTATTTTTAGACTCTGTGTGTGTGTGGAGGTCAGAGTGGGTGGTTGGTGGGTTAGATAACATACTTCAAAATTCCCAGTATGAACCATGGGGGGAAAGCCAGCTTAGAAATCATGTGCTTCAGCTATAAAAATACAGCTTACTTTTTTTTTTTTTTTCCCAAGAAATTTTAAAATTTGTTAGCCAACACGCTAAGAATATTTTTTCCCTTTGTAGTCCATCGTAGAGAAATGTACCTGTTGCTGGCAGAACTGATACCCCTCAGGGAAAACTCCCTCTCATTTTTCATCTTCCTCATGCTTTTCATCTTCAGGTCTTGAATTCTGCATTTGCTGGGACTGTCTTTGTGGTCCTAAACGATGACCACTTCCCCAAAACCTGACAGATTTCTGGAGCTTGAAGTGGAAAACAAAAATGTCCTTGCGTGCTTGAAACATTTATTTTTTTTTGGAAGGTGGAAGGTAGATAGTATTTTTGAGCTGATAACATAAGTGATCTAAATTCTTACGAGCATAAAGATTTTGGTTGCTTCATCATCATTTCCAAGTATTTCTGAGAACATCTTTTTTTTAAAAAAAAAAGGCCTTGGAATGTAAATAGTTCGTTTTAACAGGGACAGAAACCAAGTCTGAGAAAGAAGAAATGATTTCTCAGAGTTGCTCGTACTTTGCCTGCACACGATCCGCATGCCTTTAACTGCAGCATTGGAAAAACAAATACTTAAAAAGGTGGATTTGTCCTAATGCCAGCAAAATGCGCTGACAAACAGGTGCATTGTCTGCCTTGTTTTGGTTTTTAGACCTAGTAACAGCGTTTGGGCCTCTTCAGAGATAATTGCATTTCTGCTGCCTTAACTAAGCAGAGATGGGCCACTCTAAAACCCCTTTCTGAGTAGTTTATAACCCCTTTATAGTAGTTTAAAGCCTGAGGTCAGGCTTGGCTCTTCCAGTGCACCCGTCCCTTGGCGAGGCAGACCCGATTTCTCCCTTCAGTTTGTGGAAGAGAATGTATTTAGAGGAAAGAGCCGCATCCACCTTCTTTACATCCCGTTACAGCTGTCTGAAACCAGAGATTTTCAGATGCGAACGAGGGAGAGGGTGACCCCTTTCATGAATGGACCAAAATGGAATGTTTTCATTTCCAATGGGCTTTAAGCCAAGTAAATATTAGTCAATCCAAACTAGTTTTGAAATTAAATTATTCTTATTTGTTGGAGCATTCCAGAGGATGACTTTGATCTGTCTGTACTTTCACCAAAGGGATATTGGCAGGCTGGCCTCCCATTTCTAGCCGTTTGGGATGAAAGAGGGGTTATAATAACCACCTTGTGTGGCAGTGATACTGAACAGATGACATTTTTTGGACAATATTAAATGAATAAAGGTAAACATACTTCAATTAAAATGTTTTCAGAGGCTGAATGCAATAGGGCTGTTGGAAAGTCTTCTATGTGGGTTGGAGGAATTTGGCTGCATTTGTAAGCGATTTTCTTTTAACTCCAAAAATGTTGGAAAGAGAGGGGTTTGTTCTGTGTGTTGTTTCCTTTGCAAATAAATAGGTTGTTTGAATACAACTTTTAAAAGTCGAATTAAAATCGGCGGCGGGCAACAGAATTGTTAATAACTGGGAAGCAGAGATGTGCGTTGAAGGAGGATGGTCTCTCTTAATTAGTGTTTTGCTCTTTTGCTTCTGGGATGTGGGATCCCATCACACACAGCGAGCTGTACCAGGCACAGTACAGCTAAAGGGTAGCTCAGGTGACACCTGAAAGTAAACCGAAGCACACGGAGGTTTGAGTGGCACATTATCAGTCTTAATGAAGATATTTAGATGCTCATTTATCGTAATAAGGGCATTCCCTGTCAGTCTTTTACTGGAGGCTCCTCCAGAAGAGGAGGAGGACGAGGAGGAAGGGGCAGGGTGGTGGAGACCATCCCACCATAAAGTGCTACTTAGACACAGCTGAAGAGCCTTCTAAATTGGTATCAGCTGATGATAATTTGTGCTCCCCCTAGATGTAAACAATAACTGAAATAAACTGAATTAAGATATAAAGAGTTGAATAATTTACTTTGAAGGGACTGCTGGAGGTCATCTGGTCTGATGACCCTCCAAAGCAGGGCCACCTTCAAAATGAGTTAGGTATCTATATGAGAAGTTCAACTATCTTTTTTTAAGTCCCAGCTTAGATTTCAGGTGGGAACCTCTGGTGTTGAGATTTCTTACATGTATTTACATGTTTTTTTGTCAATAACTAAATATACGTATTAGCTTCTTCTGTAATGCTGCGAATTAAGTTGCTTTTCCTGGAAATGTGAGTACTTTGCCTGGATAGAGAGGTGTCTTCTCATGTGCACTCTGCGTGGTTTTGCTTTCCTTTCAGGAGAACTGGACTAGCTGTACTTGATTTGTGAGTTAAATAGAAGAAAAATGTCCTTTAGCAGACACCACTTCAAACAATCAGCTCTGTTGATGAGTGTCCTGAAATGTCACCTGTATTTCAAGTCCATTTAAGTACTTTGTATGTTCATGCCTTAAGGGAGGAACAGTTTGAACAAAGACGGATATAAAAACCAAAGCACAAAGGGTTTGTAGGTTAAAGCTTCAGCTTTTGTTTTTTTGAACATCCGGTCAAAACTGGATCCATTTGCTTGAAATGGAATATTTAGTTTTCAACTCAGCATGTGAACTGGTCATGCTTGAGTTTAAAGCTTGATTTATTTCTTTTTGCACCTGTTTTTATTTTAACACTGACTACATACAATATATACTTTTGCTACATGGTTCCTTTCTCCCCAGCTGGAAGCCTGGTCTGATATTATCATGTGAGACCTTCCTAAAATGTACATTGGTAACTTTGCAACCTCTGGAAATGCAAGCTAGACTCACTCTTCCATTTTTGAATTCATAGAATTGTTCGGGTTGGAAGGGACCTTAAAGATCATTGAGCTCCAACCCCCCTGCCATGGGCAGGGACACCTCCCATGAGACCAGGTTGCTCAAAGCCCCATCCAGCCTGGCCTTGAAATTCATGGTTTTCTTTCCTGTGTATTAAAAGACTGACCCATATATTTGTTTTTAAGAGCAGGGGCTGGTTGTGCTGTACTGCAAAACCTTGTTTCTATCAAAACACGGTGCAACCCTGCCCCTGGCAAGATGTACCAGACAGGTCAGATCAGAGGAGGAGAACTGGAGGTGGACTTGGAGGAGGAAGCTGTGCTGGGTCGTATGAGGAGATGGGATGAGGGAGAGTGGGGGGAGATGTGGGACGGAGCACGGGAAGCGATGCCAACACAGCGTGGCTTTACAGGAGGGATGGCAAATCTCGGGTTTTTCTGCAATAGTTGTATTTGACAAAAAGAAGGGATGAGCTGAGTGATCTTAAGGAGAAGGTTTTAAATGAAGTGGCATGCATATCCTATTGGAGATGCAAATTAGAATTACATAATCTGCGAAAATAATAATGATAATAATAGTAAAATCTTTTCCAGATTTGCAGCCTTAACCACGTGCTCAGTGGGTCGGTGGCAGAGAACTGGCTAATGCAGCTGCAGCATAAAACTGGGGCGTCCAACTGGTTTTGATCTTGGTGGAAAAGGGGCAGAAGGTCACGTCACAGTCTGTTGTTCTCAGTGTCTCGCAGTTTATATAATTCTCTGGGCAGATAAATGATGTATGGTGAGATCAAATGACCATGCTTCACTTAATGCTGGAGTAACTGCAAGCCATCCTCTTTTCCTTCCTTTCCCTTCCCCATGGAAAACTGAACTTGGTGGATATTGCTCCTGTTCTAGTGCCTGCAGGTGTATGAATTTTGGGTGTATTTACTGTGTCCTCTGCTGGGTTAGCTATGATAATGTGCGCCCTTGATGAACATCATTTTTGTTGATAGCCAAGGTGAGCAAAATGATGGAATATACCGAGATATTGAAACAAAGATTCCCTAAAACTAAGCAGGAGTGTTCAGCCAGCAAATCACAACAGATTTCTTTTCAGGGCTTGAAGAACTATTGGTTTTGATAATGTACAGAGCTTTTCACCAAGACATGAGCTTATAGATGAGTGAGAAGAGCTACCACTGTCTGTACAGACACAATTATTGGGGTTTTTTGTAAGGAAGATGGAAAAAATATCAGTGGTTATTAAACTTTCATATCTTTGTGTGGTTTTGGATTGTGGATGGGAGATGTGTTCAGTGATTCAGTTGGCTCCACTGGAACTGTCAACGTGGTGGCAAGCTTGGACGGGGAGAAATGTGAACGCTCAAGCAAGAATGAGGGAATTTGTTCAAATTTATGAAGACAGAGGCAATTTTACGCTGCTATCCCAATTCTGTTGTTTTAGCTATGTGGGGCTGTGTGTATATATATACATGTATGTGTATAAAAAACCCTGTGTGGGTTGTTGCTCTTGTTTGTCAGACTTGGTGTGATTTCACCATATTAAGTTGCTATTTTCAATATACCCTTGAGATTTCTACATACCTCTTCCCAGAACTGCGCTCAATATATTTTCTAGCTGGTTGGCTGGCTGTGATGCTAAGAGGCATGCTAAGGATGACTTGCATATCTGAAAATTAGGATTGGCCCCGAGTCGTGTGAAAGGAGTGTATGAACAGTCAGCAGGAGCCTTGTAGCTAGAGAAGTTTTATTTTATATAATGCAGCTCTTGCAAATGTAAACCTAATGTTTTTTTCTTGTCTTTTTTCCTAGGGTGACTCGGTTATTACGGTGCAGCTGACTGAGGAAGACAAAGTTGAAGATGATGTAGTTTTTTACTTGGTCTTCACTGGGTCAACTGTCCAACACTGCACAAGCACGAGAAAGATCAATCCTGGGAGCCTGGAGACAATTTCTCCTGGTAAACAATTGCCTTTCTTTGCATAACAGCGTATCAGTCTGTGAAATTTGGTTAATTCAAGTGGACATAAATATAACACTGTTTTGTTGGTTGTCTTTTTTCTCATTTACACATTCATAGAGAGTAGAAATTAACAATAGAACGAGAGGGAACGGCTTCAAGCTCCAACAGGGTAGGTTTAGATTGAACATTAGGAAGGAATTTTTCACTGAAAGAGTGGTCGGGCATTGGAACAGGCTGCCCAGGGAGGTGGTGGAGTAGTTTAGATGCAGTGCTGAGGGACATGGTGTAGGGGAGGTCTTTGTAGAGTAGGGTAGATGGTTGGACTCGATGATCCCAAGGGTCTCTTCCAACCTAGACAATTCTATGATTCTATGATTCTATGAAAGTGTGGTGTGGCTGGGACTGCTTTTGCCTTTCAAAAATATCTCGCTTGATTTCCCTAGAATTAAATGAGCCTGATATTGCAATTATTTAATGTGTAACTATGGGATTCTATTGTAGAAAACATACAGTTGTGTTTCTGCATAGTAAAAAGCTTTTAAATGGGAGCAAGATAGCGGAAGACACATCTGCAGGGTTAGAGATGCTGTTGTCCCTGTAGTGTACAGCCCAGTAAGTCCTAGCTACCCTTGGGATCTGTTTAACTGGGTGAGGTTCATTGCAGTGGTCCTGGTGAAATACAACCCTTTTTCCCTAAATCCTGCCACGCAGATCAGAGCCGACACAGAGTTTCTGAAAGTCTTGCAGCATCAGGCAAGCGAGTGGCACTTGGTGCCATCCCTGCAGCACAGGGGTTCGGACGGGGTGGGTTTTCACACTGAAGCCCACCACTCTTTATAAGCCTTCGTGCCGTTAACAAAACAAAACAAAACAAATCAGCGCAGCATTTTCTTCTGCTGACTTCAGGACCGTGGGAATGAGCGTGTTCCAGGCTGCGGTCCTTTACCATTAACCTTTCATTCTGACTTGTTGCTATGCAGCACATTGATACCAGTGTGAGAAAACGCCTGGCATTTTCACTAGACACAGTATAGCTTCAGTGATGGAGTGTATTTCTTGGCTTTGCTTTTTTATCTCTCTCCTAAGTATTGTTTCGTGAGAGATAGACATGAAGTAAAATTGGAGCTGAGGGATTTTCCCTCCTGGTGATGAGCAGCTAAAAGTTGGCCACCTTTTTTTTCACTTCCTCCTCTTTTTGTGCTGTTGGGGTTGTTGGGTTGGCTTGGGAAGAGAAGTCTTTTTACAGTTCCTGTCGACCGGGGCCCCGTGCAATCAATTAGATTAGTGCTTATTTTCTCCCAGAGGAGGGAGCAGAGGGAGTGACTCCTTCCCTGCTTTTGTGTGGCGGGTGAGGGGCTCTGCCAGCCCCGCTTCCAATGACCTCACCTCCCCCTCGGGACCGCTGCTGCCTCGCCAAGAAAGGAACTGAAAAGCTTCAGTGTTCCCCTTCAGCCCGTGCTGGAACTAGCAGGATTGATGGGATTTCCGGGCAGGAGAGATGCTTTCCAATCACTGCCAGCCCTGACATCCTGGGAGCAGTGCTGGATGAGGCTGGGGCGGTGGTGGCTGCCAGGTGGTACCCGGGGCGATGCTCTGGGCTCTGCCTGTCCTGCTGGCCCCAAATGTAACTGAGTCACTGGTTTTGTCACCGTTTGTGGGAAATTTGACTCGGCTCCTGATTCAAATGGAAAGGAGGGACTTGCTCTCAGTTCTTCCTTTATTTATCATGGCCTTTATTTTTTTATTTTAACCTGGTAAAGTTGTGATCTCGTGGTGTAGGATGCTGCACAGGGATGGATGCTGTCCCAAAATGCAGCTTGTATCAAGCAAAGATTTAACAGGCTTTACAGAAAGGTAGTCCTGTTCCTGCCAGATAGCCCTGTCTGGGGCCACGGTGCAAGGGAAAAGGTGACATTTCAGATGCAAGGAGCCATTTGGGTACCACCATCTTCTGTGCTTGTACCTCATTTTGAAGAAACAATATGAGAGAAAAAAAAATTACATTCATGGTGAAGGGGGTGCTGGGGAGAAGCAAACTGGGAGCAAACAACTTCTTTCATACCCTCTGCTGACACCGATGTGTTTGTCCAGTGTTGCTTCAGCGCTGACTACTGCTCAATAAGAGCATGACTGATTTCAACCCAGCTCTTCCTCCTCCTCCTCCTCCTTCCTGAACAGTGAATCTGTAATCATGTGTTTACACTGTATATTCAGCCAGTTGCCTTGGAGATGGCTGGGGTGACTCAGAGCTGGTGTTATTTGACCTCGCTGCAGGATTAGCCATGAACAAGAGACAGTGTGTGGGAGACCAGCCCTCATTAAACGTCCAGCCCTCACAAGTGCTCTGCAAGGAAACACTTGCAAACAGCTTTTAGCCAAAATTTCATCCTTTGCATCCAGCTTTGAGCATCTTTCATTTGTCTCTGCAATGCAGGATGTGTTGTACATCCCTGGGAGAACGGCCACTCCTTGGGGACACCTCAGGTGGATGAAGGAAGGGCTTGTTCACTCAAGAACATACCGAGCCCCCCTGCCAGCCTGCCCTTCAACCTCCTCTGCTTCCCTTCTGGGCTTGGAGGCTCTTGTCCTCATCCCAAGTCCTCAAAGTTTCAGATGGTCCCCAGGGGACTTCAGGTGAAGTTCATCAGGGGCTGGGTTGAAAGAGGTAACCATAGTTCAGTTAAAGCTAATGTAAAAACAAAACTAGATTGGTTTTTTTCTTGACTTTTTCAGTAGTTTTGGTGATGTATGGAGGCGTAAGAAACAGAAAGAGAAGTAATTTGTTTACATTTGCTGCCAAAATTAAGTAGAATGTTTTAGCAAAGCTTTCAAAGGAAATTACATTTTAAAAAAATGTGCATAATAAAAGGAAGGACTCCTGATTGTAAATTTACGGGAGCGGCTTTTTTTTAGGTGAAAATGTGGCTATAAATGTAGATTCAGAAGTTGCTCAAAGGATTAAATACTACCTGCATTTTTGCACCTACTTGGAAGGAAGGGATGAGGTGGTTGTTCTGCCCCACTATTGACAGTGTTATGAATTTAAGGGAAATAATATTCTCTTGTAAGAAACAGATTCTCATCTGAGATGATCTGTCGCAAGTTGAAGTATCATAATAAGCTGCTGAATCAAAAGAATAACGCAATGGATGATGCTTTGTGGGCTTCCAGTAGCTCTTTTGCCAGCCCAAGGAGAAATGAGGTCACATTGTCCACCCGAGCTTCTGTGTGCCTTGGTGAAAAGGTACCAACATCTTGTTTAACTGTTGCTTTACTGGTGCTGTTAAAATGTTTGCATTTCTAAGTGATCTGGTTCAAATTCTCCATAACTGAAGAGAAGTTTTCCTTGGTACCAGAAGCACTCTGTAGTTCTGCAGAACAATGCCAAACGCTGTCTCACCAGACGCTTCCCACCAAGGCCCATCTACGTGGCTGGCAGAGATGCTGTGTCCCTGGATGCTGCTCTGGTTGGGCTATCATTAGTTGTAAAAGGTTGGTCGCTGGAGTTTGGGTATTGAAAAACTACTGAAGGTCCGAGCAGGGAAAGATGCAGAGAGATATGTCAGCTCTGCTATTATGTCTGAACTGTTGTTGCTGTGGAAATTGTATTATTGGGGATGGATATGTCCACTTACGTCATGGATGTTTGTCCTACTTAGTGTTGGTCATAAACTGAGCTTTTCAGCAAGTTCTTATTACTGGAGTGAAAGTGCCATAGTATTTAATGTAATTTTTCTTCCCAACATCTCTGTGGAGTAGGAAGGGTAACTGAGGCATTGAATGGCCAAGCAGACTACATGTGGTAGTGTTAAGTCTGTCTTCAAGCAGGAAAGTGAAACTTCTTTGCAAGCCACCAGCCTCATCGCCTGCCTCCGCTGCTGGAGCAGCTTTTTCCCCACTGGAAAAAAAAGAACAACAAAAAACCCCCAAAAAACCAAACCAACTTATAATAAAAAGCCTCAAATCATGATCTGGCAAAAAAAAAACCCAACAAAAGAAGGAACGACTTCATCCCTGTCTACATGAGTCAAAAGCCCTGACCGCAGCCTGCCATGGGCAGGGGAGGCATCTTGGCATTGGGAAGCTCTCGGGCAGATTTGGGGAGAACTTTCTCACAGGAGAAAGCTCACAGAGGTGGTGTGTGGGAGCTTGAGTGTTTGTGGGGTGCATCTAGTGCAAGTTGTGTGCTGTCACGATAGTGGCTGTGTTACTGGACACAAATTTTGCTTTGCGTTTAAAGATTGGAGTGTAGTAGCTGGGCAAGGCAGAACCTCCTCAGTGGAGGAAAACAGAGAGACAGTCCCAGGACTGGGAGTCCAGAGCTGCAGCAGCTCCTCATCAACCAAGTCAAGGGTAAGAAATACCTTGCCTATAAGCTGAGTCACTGAAATAATAAGTAGGGTAGTTTTGTGAGGTGTAACTGCCTTTGTGTGTGCCTACATCACTTTTTCTTGTTAGTTGCTCTCAGAAGGTGCAGGATTCTTGTATGGGCTTCAGAGGGGAGGAGGAACAAAATTAGAGGCAGGAAAAGGACCAGAGGGACTGGCTGGATGCTGGTAGCTGGTTCCCAGCAGTTTCCCCAGGGCTGAAACACTCCTGTTTACTCCAAAGGCCTTGACTCACTGGGAGCTTTCTCTCCGTGCTTAAGCTAAGGTGGAGAAGCAGGTTCCATCTTTTATTTATTCTTAATTCCTGTAGTTCTCAGATTATTTTTTTTATCTACTTTCTTTCTGCTAGTTAAGAGGATAGGCTAAAATTAATTTCAATTGGCTTGGAAATATTTTCATTTCAAACTTTTATTTTACTGCGAAATCCTTTACATATGTTCATGTTTTATTCTTTTCTGCCACAGACTGTGTTTTCCCCTAGGAAACAGCTTTTCATAGAAAAAGCTATATATCATGAAATACAATCTTTATATTGGTAAACCAAAAGGGTAAACAAGTTGCATAACAAATGACCACTTGGCAACACCAGTCGTGGATTTGAAAATGCTC